ACTGGTTGGAATTCAAAACAACTTCATACAATTGTCAAACACAATAAGGGGAAGTGCAGTGCACAAGAACCATAACTCTATCTAAAGTAATTACAGAGTTATTGCCCTTTGTTGCTTTTCCATTGCCTTCTTTTTTTTGTCCGGACCATAACTTGAAGACTAATGGTTGGAATTCAATATAACTACATACAATGGTCAAGCACATTGAGAGGAAGTGCAGTGCACAAGAACCATAACTCCATTTTGACTTATTACAGAGTTACTGCCCTTTGTTTCTTTTCCTTGTCCAGAGCATGACTTTAAAACTACTGGTTGGAATTCAAAACAACTTCATACAATGGCCAAGCACAATAAGGGGAAGTGCAGTGCACAAGAACCATAACTCCATCTTGACTAATTACAGAGTTATTGCCCTTTGTTACTTTTCCATTGCTTTCTTTTGTCCGGACCATAACTTGAAGACTTATTGTTGGAATTCATTATAACTTCATACAATGGTCAAGCACATTGAGAGGAAGTGCAGTGCATAAGAACCATAACTCCATCTTGACTAATTACAAAGTTACTGCCCTTTGTTACTTTTCCTTGTCTAGAGCATGACTTGAAAACTACTGGTTGGAATTCAAAACAACTTCATACAATGGTCAAGCACAATAAGGGGAAGTGCAGTGCACAAGAACCATAACTCCATCTTGACTAATTACAGAGTTATTGCCCTTTGTTACTTTTCCTTGTCCAGAGCATAACTTGAAAACTACTGTTTGGAATTCAGTACAACTTCATACAGTTGTCAAGGACAATAAAAGGAAGTGCAGTGCACAAGAGCCATAACTCCATTTTGACAAAATACAGAGTTACTGCCCTTTGATAATTTTCCTTGTCCGGAGCATAACTTTAAACATACTGGTTGGAATTCAAAACAACTTCATACAATGGTCAAGCACAATAAGAGGAAGTGCAGTGAACAAGAACTATAACTCTATCTTCAGTATTTATAGAGTTATTGCCCTTTGTTCTTTTTCTTTGTCTTTCTGGACTTATAACAGAGTAATGCAATTAAACTTCATCAATGGCCAACCACATTGAAAGGAAATGCATCATACATGAACCACAATTATCTTTAATTGCCCACAACCATAACTCTATGTTTCAATTCTATTACAAGGTATTCTGTTACTAGTAACATCCTCATTTCCGAAGCAGACTTGTGGGGGTATTAATCACATTTAGTGATAGTTCTAGTTTTTATAATAAAATACCATAACAAGTGGCCTAAGAGATAAAATATTTAATAGTGCTATGCCCTAATTATGTTGTATTAAATTTGACCTTTGTTATGGGTCAATTTATTGCTAGAATTTGCATAAAGAACGTTTGATGCAATTATTAAAAGTATGCAATTTATGACATCTGTCACAATATATGAGTAATTAAGTACACATGTCAGCCAGCGTAATGTTGAATCTTTCCGTTTTATAGATAACGTGTGAATTTGGCTTTACTTGACATCTTATGTATTGATTTTTAGGTAATTTGAAAGTTGACGTTCTCAAGACCCATTTTTATTCTGAAATTTATGTAAATCATCGACAAAACTAACTTACAAATTTGACCACCACAAAGGGTAACTACAACAATTTCAACTCGAAAATGAATTTTCATATTATTTTGCACTAATGAAGATTTGTTTTTGAGAAATATCACAAGGCTTTATTTATGTTGAACCAAGTTCAGTACAATGTTAAATCTGAAAAATGTATGTATTTTCTTTCTTTTTTTGCTGTATTTTAGTCTTTATTTTGTCTTCTTTTCATGAAGTAAGAAAGTAGGTATTCTTCTAAAGTCGTAATTGACTGAGACACCTGCAATTAAAAAACAACTTTTTTATATTTCCATATCAATATAATTATTTTCACTATACTCTGTAAGATATAGTATTTGTATTTGTGTAGGGTTTAAATTTTCATAATTTATTGCACATAGCAAAACAAAAATGGTCTAAAAACTTTATTCCTTTTAAAGCTTTAAATGTGGATGTAACTGGGTGCAAGTTCATTAAGTCAGTTGCTTATACTGGCGACCTTTCTGCTTATATATTATTATACCCTTAAAGGCACATTAATTTAAGCCCAAGAAATATCTACATTTTTTTTCTTTGTAGAAAAGGCATAAATGTGCTTTATAACATTGCAATAATGAATTTAGAGCACCAAAAAGTTGGGATTTAACTTCCTGGTACCGAAATTAACTGACCTTTGACACCAGTATACAGTCTGAACAGGCTCTGTTACTGTTGAAATTCCTTAAATTGAAATGGACTGTTCTAAGATTTAAGCAGGGTAAGTAAATCACTAAGCAAGTTAATGTTCATGAAACAGAAGGAAGTCACTGGTACCGACATCAACATCTGGTTCCCATTCATTGGGAGGTCTGTCTCAATTGAAAATATAGCTGTCAAACCTACATGAATAATTCGGATAATTATGAAACTGAAAGAGTAAAAAATATAAATCACACCTCACAAAGGTAATCTGTCATAATAAATATTAATGATGCGAATAGTATACATGTACTTATGTCAGATATATAATGAAAAATGCCTTCCTTCCCTTTTACGCATATGTGTCCTTTTTATGTTTTCTTAAAGGGACTCCACTGAGGATTTTTGACATGACGTGACTAGAACAATTTTTCATTATTATTGTTTCATTTGATGTTACTAAGGTCTAGACAAATAACGCCTATCTAAAATTTCAGATCATTCGCTCACTCCGTTTTTCCAGAATACTTATTCTAATTGTGAAATATTACCCAAAAATGAAAAGCGTTGCAACGCTTTTCACTCAAATCGGGCTAATAAAACCCTGCTTAAAATTATACAAAAAGTACAATTTTCAATTTATTTCTGAGAATATTTCGTAATTATTTTTTGTATATCTTAACGTTTTAAGTGCCCCAACTGATCTTTATCTTAAAATGTTATGGGTTTGTATGCTTTTGGACCTCAGTAAAGTTCCTGTAAAAGAAAAATGAAACTGTGTGACTATAATTTTTGATATTTTACAAGAAACAATACATTTAAACTCTTCTATGATGGTATAGATTTGGCTTTTTTTACCAAAACACTGTACTTTTACAATTAATGTTGTATGGCCTACTGAATTTTCAGAATAGTAGCAAAACATGAAATATTTTAACTGTTACATTACTTAACAGCGATTAATGGCAATGTCGTTACAAGCGTTATTTTACATATATCTACTAAGTTTAATTAAATGTTTCTATTTTCAAAAATTCGGAGTGTAACTGGAAAGCAGAAAATGAGGTGAAAATAAAATGTTGATGTAAATTTTGGTTTTGGTGAATTCTTTTTTGTTTGTTTGTTTGTTTTTGTTTTGCTTTATTTTCAAAAAGTCTGATTATTGTGTCACTTATTTTCCCTGTATTTCTCGCAAATCGTAGAAATGCCAATTATAAATACTATTGCTGAACACTTTCAGACCCAGATTTTCTCACTTCTGTATTGTTTACTTTTTGGTACCTTGTTACAATTACCTAATATTTTTTCCCATATAAATGAACTATTGCCCTATTGGCAATTGGATTAATCATAGTGAATGGAAGTAAAAATACTACTTTGTTAACATTTTTGCTATCTTTAAGACAATTACTGCACGTTAAATGCATCATTAAAACATAATTAAACAAATGTTTAACTCTTCAAAAGACTTAAACATATGGATTTCTGAGGCAAAATATGTCTTTAAACCATGACTGTTTTATACTTCAGGTTAACTGTTTTACTTTTATTAATATATTTCAATTTTGTTTGGTGACAGGTAAAATAAACGCTAAAATTTAAAGAAAAAAAACACACACACATATTTTAAACGAAATTTGTTTTGTTGGTATCGGAACAAAATATTTGATACGATAGCATTATAAGCACGTGCCACCTCTATCCAATAGGTACATTTCATTCGTGTTTGCTACTTTAGAAGTTGTATTTTCCTGCGACAGATGACTAAAATAGTTACGTTTAGTTTAAACATGAGTTCTTTATTAAATAACGTGTAGTTTTTGTTGATAAATTGTTTTAACGTACCACTGTGTCACCCTAAATTTATATTTTCATCAGCCGTTGTTGTTAGACATTGTTAATTCATTTGAATAAAAAATATCTTACATACTAAAGTAAGTTAATTAACACGCCTGATGTAACTGACGTTCTGTGCACTTATTAGACCACATTTCACTATAATAACGATTTCATGCAACAGGATAAAAAATTACAACAACATCATCAATGAAAACAACAATAATACCAACAAAATAACATTTTAATGTAAGCAGTCCTGAAATGTTTCATCAATTTATGCAATTTATAAATGAAAATACATGGACAGAATACAAGAATAAAACTGTGTACATGTATAGCAATAACGACAGAAATAACATAACAAACGACAAACGGAAGACAAAGAAGACTTCTCAAAGGAACAAATAGTGATATCAAAATATCCTAAAATCATTTCTTAAACAATATACTAGTATCGTTATATTTCACTGTGATAACAAAAATACGTCTCTTGAAAATATGCGTAATTGTGAGATTCTTGAAGATTCCCAGTGTTATTTTAGTCACAAGCAACAGAAGCAGAAGAAAAAGAAATAATTATATATTTCATCTAAAGATGTATTTGTAAAAAAAAATTATTGCATATGGACCTAGTGCTGTTTATGTCTGAAGAGAAATAATGCCTTAGCTACAATGCAGTTATTCTAGCATTTTTAATAATACAAGACATCGTGATTTAAATGCAAATTTATGTAATTATTATGCGTTTCTTTCATCAAAAATGAGTGATTTGCTTAGGAAATTTATTAAAATTGAAAATATTCACCAATACTGGTTTGTTTGGTATTTTCGTGCAAATTATGTTTAAGCTTCAACAGTATCCTCAACAACAGATTGTTTGACACGTTCTTTGTTTTTAATTAGTGTACATATTAATTACATAAACACATTACATGTTAATGATACGCGCGATCTGATGGTAGTTGCATTAGTTAAAACCGTTCTCAAGGATAAGACTCCGGAATGCATAAATTAAGAAAATAAGATGTTTTGGTGACATTATTAAGTGTCACTTATAATTATATAGACATAAATGAATATTGTTACCATAGTAATATATTAGGAATTATATACGAGGTTTTACACCGTGAATTACTGATTGTGGTATAAAGAAAGAAAGGAAAGAAAGTATATATATGTATATGCGGAACACTGGGTCATCGTCATAAAAACGTTGATAGCATGTCACCATAGGATAAAATGTTTCTTTTCTGATGTGATGGATATAGCTGGATAAGGAAAAAAACTGAAGATTTTTTAATGTGCTTTTCGTATATTTCGACATGTATTTGATAGTTTCTCTTAAGATGATAGTATGGATTTTAATAATATCAGTATTTTTTCGAGGTACAGTATGTTTTATGTTATTTATTATTGCATAAAGATATGTCAGTGTTTTACCGAAACTGTATTCGATTAGACTAATTTTATGCACAAATCTATATCTTGACAATATTTGGTGTCATTTGTATCAAGTCTTAATGTTCTTGTTTGAATATTGTATACACAGCTAGTTTAAATGACAAATTTATGGTTTGAAGACATTCTGTTGGAATTTATAATAAAATATATGTTAAAAATGATAATTTGGTTGAACGTACAATTTGTGCCCCGTAACTGATTCAACTATCGTCAGAGACAACTCGGTAATTCTGTAGATTGTACAAAATATATTTGGCTGATTTTAGAAAAGGAAAACGGACAACATAAGCAAATGGTATAGGTTTTGGGTTAACTGTTTCACCGCTGTTTTATTTCATTCTTACTAAAATGATGTGTATAGTTGATTTAGGTATCAATGTTATTTTCAGATATTAAAAAGAAAAAATCCATGCAGCTAGTATGAGTATTTTAAAATAAGAACTTCAGACTTTCAAAGTTTGTTTTACGTGTAAATTGAATCTAATTGAAGAAGAAAAAACAATGATATAACACATATGTGTTTTTTCTTGCTATATCTCGGCATATTTGATCTGTTTATGATTCGGAAAATGACGTAATATGTCGAAGTTTTACGAGCCGATGACGAATGTATCACCTTAAGGAGTATTAGCATGAACAATGTTAAGTCAACTGTCAAAGATTTTGGAGACATAATTATTTGTGTTTAGGCTTTGACCAAATTTGCTTGCTCGAGTCGTAATTGCGACTTTCACCCTAAGGGAATAAACGCTGCAGCGACTGGGTCAATGTCAATGATAGTTTTATTTAGAAGCCTTAATTGCAATTATCATCTAAGAATGCGGAGGCATTAAGGATGGAGTTTACCTTCTGAATGTCCTAACAGAAAGGGGCATTTACCGAGGGTTTTGATAATATAAAAGTCAAAGCCATCCGCTATTCTAGTAGGATGGGGTTACAATTGACTCGTGCTATACGAGCGGTTAAATAACCTGACTGCTTCATGTACATACCAACGAGTGTGTTAGGTTCAGGGACACTATCTTGCTGACAAGAAAGTAACAACGTTTTTGTTGTCATTTTAGCAAGATTGACTGCTGGTAGTTTTTGTTTAAACACTTAAAGCTATTGTCCAGTATAAGCTAACTTTTACTTAAATTTTATACATCATGGTATCAAATATTTATATATACGACCAATATTGGTCAATATCAGTTTGTCTCTATTTGTTCTCGTATAGTCAAAGTCAGCCAGTTCTATCTCCAACAATATAAATAGAAAGGCATTATATGACACCCAGACTCTTTGGAAATAGGGTTGGGAAATTATAAGGATTTTCTGTTCTGTGTTTCTAACTTTTTAGAAAAAGTTGGTGTTCAATTTGTATTCAATGCATACAATCATAATGTAATTGTTGTTATGAATTTCTTAAATAACATATTGTATTGATATATATGTTGTTTAATAAAAAAAATATCTCGTAAATTATATACAGAATGTGATATAAATGTGTAATTTAGATTGTACCACCTTCTGAATTTATCAAATGTCGATTATAATGTTTTTACGTTTTGATATATTATAGGTGACAAATTTGCTATCAATACATTCATTATGGCTCAAACAAAAATTCGATTGTTTCAAAATGATTACACAACGATTTTCAAAGTTTCCAAAATTTTGAATTTTATAAATGCATTATGTTAACATACGAACACTTATCTGTATATAACTCTGTACCAACGATTGAACACCCATATAGACAAGGTTGAACACCCATAAAGAAAAAGGTTGAACGCCGTCATATAACGATGATCATAAAATGTTATAACCAATGATGAAGTGCATACATTTACGTATAATGGTCAAATAGCTTAAGAATATGATATATGTACTCATAAAAGGTCAATAAGATGTGTTTGATTAAACAAAAGACTCATCAATGTCTTAAAAGGTAATAATGAAGAATAAAGAGAATGGCTTTTTATTGTTATAACCAATAAATGATAATACCCTTAAACCTCTCTTAATTAGTAATAATGAATCAATCCAGTATACCCAGTACTTCTTCTTAGTATTGTTATAATTTATGGTCCTTCTGATCACTGTTTTCAATAAGTTTTAGTGTTGAAAATTGAATGCCGCTTAAGCCGGTGCTGGGGGGGGGGTCTTGAGATGCATTACACTTTTCATTTTCTAACTATTTGTTCTTAGTTTACATTACTCTCGGGGGATCTAGCTTCCTTTTCCAGAATATTCAGGTGAAACAAGAAGTTAAAATGTTTGTAAGGATATTGGTAATAACTTTGAATGTATTTTACCTGCCATTGTCGACTATATTTATTCAAATACAAAACAAATATTGATGTTTAATATCAAAGACTGTTAATCATAATTTCTCAGTCAGTCATGGTACATATTGGGGAATGTTATACAATCGGCCTTAATCCTAATATCAACCTTAGAAATTCCAAACATACATGCATGTGCATTCTATATAGTGTACGTTCACGCTTAATATAATTTTGGACCTCATAATTTTGCGCGTTCTGAATTTAGTAGCAAAAAGTAAACTAAAATTATAGCTACAATGAGTTAAATGTATCCCATTTCTTGAACAACTGAAATGCTTCACAATTAATTGAGTGATTAAATAACATGCACTGAGAAAAGACTTTATATGTTGATATATCAATCATGGTATCATATTAAAAACTCTAACTTTATCTGTTTTGGCTTGAAGAACGTCAATTTGTCTTTATTTCATACAAATATTTAGCACATACATAATATGACATCTACGTACAACAGAATTAAACGATTTTACGATAGTTATTTATTACTACTTCGATTACCTACGGAGAAAACAACAAGGTCAATCAGTAATGGTATATAAGGATGTGATATATAGCTTTAGATTATGACAATGACAACATTTCATGGGTTTGCCAATGCTTTATTTTAATGTGTCAAAAGTCAGAGGGTTACTGCAACATTAATCTATTACAAATTAATATACATGTATTGTGAAGTTAAGGATTGTTTTTTCTTGCCTCCTTTAATACAAAAACAAGGATGAAAAATATAGCTTTAGTTTATAGTTTTTTTCTTTATTCATAAACAAATTAATTTAAAACTAAATGAAGAATTATAAAATGTGATGGTTATTAATTCCAGAGTTAAACACTCGATATATTATCCTTGACAGTTACAACATATTGCCATTTATAATTTAATTCCTTTAATTGTCATGGCCTTCAACTAAATATCCATAGAAATGGTACATTTTCAACATTTTATTACGATGAAATGCCAATGTTAACATTATACATGCATATCACATTAATTTTCCTCAAGTAAATGTACTTTGCAAAAACAAACTACATGTAGTAGGAAATCAGTCTCTATCAGAGATTGTTGACGATATTTGTGTTACTTATCATTTTATTTTTCTTCCCTACAAATTAAAAATTACTTGTTTCGTGATATCTCTTCACTATTCTTATAATTTTAATTTCCCATAGGCCAATGGGAGTTATTCTTACTGTTAATTCAAGTGTACCATGTGACTAAAACATTTTGATCTGTTACGTTAGGTATACTGGACTGTAAAAATCTGAAAAAGAAAAACTATGAAAAAAGTGCCAAAAGTAAGTATTTGTTAGGGGTAATGAAATAACAAAAACCCCTAGGTTTGTAAATAACAGCAAACAATTGTTATCCCTCGTAAAATACTAAAATGCTAACGCCTCGGGTAACTGCAAAATATGACAACAGCAACATGTTTTTGCACATCAGTCAAACACTGTTTGTCATCGTTTATTTACGTTATACTGAGCACATTTTTCATGCAGACAAAGACGTGACTAATGCACGTGTAGTGGTTATAAAAGGTCTACAATGTGATCTGTAGTGAGATGTTTTACATTTTACAATATATCATCATCATCGTCATAATTATAATAATAATATTACCATTATTATTATTAGTATTAGTATTAGTATCATTATTATTCTCATCATCATCATCATCATCATTATTTTTATTATTATTATTATTAAAAGTGTTTGACATCAGTTTTATATCATTTATTAGTATGACCTTATTTCTAGTAGTGTTAGTATAAAACATATTCTTATTTCTCATGATATGAATGTCGTTGAGGTGCATAAAAGTCATTTGTTAATATAAATGTTTCATTAATGTCACGTATGTAACAGTATATGTTAGATGTATATATTTACAATCAACATTTATATTTATCTGGTGTTAAATCACTAATGTAATCATTATTATTGCCTATATGTGTAAACAATGTCCATCAACTATCATTGTACATTTTCAAAACCAGTGTCTATTGCCTCTGCCCATTATGCCATAGAAATGCGATAATTTTCATTCCTCAAAAACCTTTTTAGTTTTGGTATATTGTCATAGTTTCGAAAAAAGGCACATTTGCCATAAACATAAATTATCTTTTGCTTATGTTGCCCTTTTAGCAAATGGTATATTAAGTAGTGAATTAGCATTATGTATGGAAGTCAAATACTACTTTGTTTACATTTTGCTACCTTCGCGACACATCACTACATGTCCAGCGCTACTTTTTCAGTTCTTAATCCACTATTTGAACATTATTAAACGCATGCTTGGTATTTCTAAAGTATTTTAAAAAATATGAATTTCTGAAGGATAATGTGCCTTTAATATTGAACAATATTTGCGTTTATTGATATATCTTAATAATAGCATCAAAATAGTTCTTTTAATTCAGGACTGCTCTTTGATAAATTAATTGGTAAAGTAAAGATCTAGGAAATGACATGTTAAAACAGCATCATACCATTGTATTGTTGTCAATGTATAAAGTCAATCATATCGCATCAACAATAATTTCATTATCACATCGTTTACGACTTACATAACTTTTTACTTTATGATATAT